CGGATCGTGCTGTTGTTGAAGAAGCGTGACCTTCGAAGGAACAACAAAGCCAGCACGAGTGCAGTAGCAACATTGGCCTTGCAAAGATATAGCGTGCAGAAATTTACACAAGTGTAATTGTTGGTTCATTATTCAACAACCAACTACATAGTGGATTTTGAGGACGTAGAAGGATTACCCCACCTTCGAACCTCGTTAAAGTTTGTGTGTCTCTCTCTCTCTTTTATCTTTACTTATACTTGCACTTATATTAACTGTGAAACTAACCAATCCATATTGATTACTGCTCCAATAACCCACCAACTTCCGCACACAATCTAAGTTCACAAGAACTCTAGATTAACACTCATTTTCACGTTTTCAAAAGAAACGAAAATGTTTTTAAACTTGTAACAAAGTCTATCCACCCCCCCTCTAGACTTTGTATCTCACCACTTTGGAGCCACCAGTTTGTTTAAGTGTTTCAGGTACAACAAGAATCCATTAAGATTTGTTCTCAAGAATGAAGTCGAAACACTAAACTAGCGTAGAATATAGGTAGGAACCTATGTTAGGATATGATTTTATATACCTATATTCACAAGCTCAAAAGCACTCACAAAATATGTTTAAAACCATCTCATAAACATTTTCAAACATTCAAAAGGTTTTAAACTCAAACGAGAAGGATTAAGAAAATTTTGGAAAACGCGGGACAGTGGCACGGTACCCTATACCGTCTACACGGTAGGGTAAACCATTGACACGGTACCCTAGTAGCGTTAGACACCAGGTACCGCCAGAGCCGGATTTCATTTCTATGATACACGGTACCGAGGTACCGCCACTCATAGTAACCCCTACCGTACGAATGGTACCATGCTACCTTGAGGATGGTACCGACCTACCGTGACCATTGGGTTACTGTTCTTGATTTTTGATTTTGAATTAAATAAACCCTAATCACCTCCCAACGGCTAATTAACATCTTTCACTATAAATACAATCTTAATCCTTCATTTTCTAACAAAAAACAAATCTCCAAACATCCTCTCTTTATATTCTAAATGTGTTCATTCATTCATTAATTATTTTCAATATTCTGGCTATTTCAAGAGCCTTAAATTCCTAATTTTTATACACACACTTTGTTCTTGTATTTCTGGTTATATACTCTCATATTTACAAGTTTATATTGTATTTTTGAGAGAGTATAATTTCCTTCTACACCGGCTAAGTTTTGTTCTTCATTTTTATATTCTTGCCGTTGTGTAGAATCATTGTTTGTGTTCTTCAAACACACCTTCTTACGGTCGAGAATAGCCGTTAAATTCTCACGTTGTAATGGTTAAAGATAGCCGTATAAATCCTTGGGTAAAGGTTCAAGGATAGTCTTTGAAATCCTTGGGGGAACGGTAGAAGATAGCCATTAAATCTTCGTTGTAAACGGTTCGAGATAGCCGTGGTGAAATCTCGGAGTGAATCGTATTAGCAAAGTTGTTTGCCAAAACTAGTGTGGTGCTTTGACGGAGTTCAAGAGACTGGGACTTAGTGGATTCGGAAATCCTTAAGGTGGAGCCTTAAGGTACTGGAGTAGGGAGTTCCCGAACCAGTATAAAATCGGTGTGTATTTTACTTTACGCTTTTATTTCTGCGTTTTATATATTGCTTCCGCATTTGCCAACACCGTTTTTATCAAACTCCGAAAAGATTTTAAACGCCTTATTCACCCCCCCCTCTAAGGCGTGGGCACAATGACTAAAACCAAATAACAAAGACATTGGTGGATACAGGAAGTTTATTGAATATCATGTACATGGACACTTTTGAGGCCCTGTGATTAACCTAGGAAGAACTTGTGCCAATCAAAACTCCTCTGACGGGGTTCACTAGAGATTTTATAGAGCTAGAAGGTATCATCACCTTGCCTTTGGAGGTAGGAGATATTAAGGCGAAGCTGTAGTTGAACATGGAATTCGTGGTGGTTGGTATCCTCTCCAACACAAATATATTGGGAACGCCTGGGCTAGAAGATCTGGAATGTGTGATCTCACCCAGGAATCTATGCATAAATTTCCCCACACCATGGGGGGTTGGAGTAGCCAGAGGATCACAAAGAGTATCCCGGGCCTGGCACCTGGATAGAGGCAGACCCCTCGAAGTGGTTGGAAAGACTAGCCACATACATTTAGGATTTCGTTGTCCATGAAGACCCACATGAGGCTAGACTGTTGAAGATCAGAGACCCAAGTTATGTCATACAGAAAGGTGTCCTCTATAAGTGTTCGTACAATGGGGTCCTCCTCATATGCTTAAGGGCGGCATAAGCCAACTCATTGATGGAGGAGATACACGATGGGACTTACACGGCTCATAAGGGATAGTATTCCATCTCCCGGAGAGCCATCATCAAGGAGTACTTCAGTGCCATCAATGAGGAAAGATTGTGAGGAATACGTCCGCAAGTGCCTTACGTGCAAGCAGTTCTAGAGTATTCCGGGAAGGCAAGCTACAAACTACACCCCCATTAGCACTGTAATCCTATTTGCCATATGGGGGATAGATTTGGTTGGTGCCCTACCAAAGAGCAAGAGGAAAGCAAGGTGGGTCATTTTCACAATTGACTACTTCACCAAATGGGTAGAAGCTAAGCCTCTTTCCGGAATAACTGAAGAATAGATGGTCAAGTTTGTGTGGACCAACATCTTATGCAGATTCGGGGTCTCGGAATAGATAGTAACCGACATTGGAACCCAATTCGAAGAAGCTAAAGTCACCAAGTTCTTGGAGACTTGGAGAATTCGCCATAACAAGGCTTCAGTCGCCTACCCACATGCTAACGGCCAAGTAGAAAACGCAAACAAGGCAATTTTGGATGGAATCGTGAAGAAGTTACTTGCCGAAGGGAGTAGTTGGGTGGATGAATTACCCAGGATCCTATGGGCCTACAGGGCGACCCCAAGGGGGGCCACCGGCGATACACCATTTGGTTTAACATATGGAATTGAAGCCCGGGCACCGGCGGAAACGGCGCTCCCAACATGGAGGGAGAAACAATATGACTCCCAGTCGAATGAAGTGAACCATTCCATAGAAATAAACTTCCTGGAAGAAAGAAGGGACAAGGCCAGGATCCGAATCGAGAACTACACAAGGCAAGTCAAGTTCTACTTTGGTAGCAGGGTGAAGCCAAGAACTTTCCAGGTTGGGGATTATATCCTAAGGAAAAGAGAGAAGAGCCAACCCAACAAAGGGGGGAAGTTTGCTAAGTCATATGAAGGCCCAAATGTTATCAAGGCAGTCCTCCATCCGGGCACTTTCAAGATGATGACTCCGAGAGGGAAGGAAATAGATATGACATGAAATGTTGAATTCTTAGTTAAGTTTTTCCAGTGACTTGAATGTAACATTCTTGTTATAAAGGAATAAAGTACCAAGTGTATTCCATTGCTCTATCATATATTTTATAAAAAAAACGGGGGATGAAGGGTACCCCTAGGCTACAGGGAGGTAGAGAAGTATTATGCCATCTAATAAATATAGGGGAGTTAGAAAAGGTTATGCCCCCGGAGGTAGACGAGATTATGCCTCCGAAAAAGCAAGGAAGGAATTGGAAAAGGACTTAAAGGGTCTTTACAATCTGAAATCCTTGGGAAGAACAACAAACGGACTTAGAGGGCCGACGCCTAGTAAGCCACCGCATGGGCCACGAAGCACACTGAGAAGCCAATGTTTCCTTCGCGAGAGGCAGAAAAGATGATGCCTCATTCCTGAGAAGATAGACGCTGGGCATTTATTACCTAGTCCAATGCTCCCCGAGACGCAAAACAGATGCGAATAACGAGGTAATTATGCATCTAATATTCCAAACATTACACAGAAATATAACAATAACATACACCAAAGAGAGGTAATAGAAGTAAACTTTTATTCTTCCAATGAGTCATATGGGAAATTATAGTATCTTTGGATGAGAACCATAAATTTTTCTATTAAGGAGACTCAAAAGAGAAATTACATTATCTTTGGGTCACAACAATGAATTTCCCATTGTCAAGGGATGGGCCATGGCTTGGGATCACGAGGTAATTTTAACCCCGAGCTACTATTGAAAGGACAAAATATGTGTTGGAGTCGTACCCTGATGGTCAACTATTTTATCGTTATTCTATCATGTATAGGCAGATATAAGATGTTTACACGTCAAATGCTAATATAAACAAATATTGTATTCCTAGATTTATATTTAAAGATGTTTATCAGATAGTGTTATTCTACTGATGATATTGACATCTTGAAATAAATATTTATCTAAATGTCCATAGTCGAGTATTAACAAGAGTGGGATATCGTTAATGCATGTGAGACTAGTGTGTGTTGGAGGTTTGACTTAGTCTCATAGTCAATGACGGTGTGTTCGCCTCCGCACATGAGCAGATATTATCTGGAAATAATAGGATGCCGGACTGACCCATCCTAAAGATGTTGCTTGAATTTTTTGTTCATGCTCTAAGCATTTTTAGTGCGACCACGAGTGTAACTATCCTTCGACTTAAAGTATTACATTTTCTGAATATGTGAACCCGCATGCTTTGATGCATTCTCCTAAGCCATATTAAATAAGGATGGTATACAGGCATTGTTTTGGGTATGCCGCCGCAGTGCGTATTCAGAAATGTAGATTACGTACATAGGATTTGTCACTACTCTTTTAAGAGATTAATGTCTTATGGGGCCCACTGATAAGTTATGACTAAGGAAATTGCATGGCCATGCTGAGATGCTTTTATGACGTTTGTTCCTATCAGTCAGGCTTGATAAATCAGTGAATGGCTTAATGGATACAAGCTGGATTTTATTAATCCCTTGCATTAAGTCTAGACATTGAGACAAAGGGATATAGTTACACGGAGTCTGAGTAGTGGAAAGGTTTTGACGGTGCAAAAGTCTTAACTTATAACCAGGGGGCAGTTATGTGTTGTTAGATACCGCTTATTGCTTATAATATTGGTGCAGAGCCAATACTGTGGGCAACTTGATAAGTGCGTATACGGATCACACACTTTGGACGATTTAATGAGTAAGATTAAACAATGTGATAATAAGTAATTTGTATATTTTTAAAATAGTAAAATAAAATATTTTGGAATATAATATTATTTAAATATAAATAAGTAAGAAAGTATGGACCCACCACAGACATCCCTGCGGAATACACTGACAACCTCTCCAAAGAATTTCTCGTCGGAAGAAAGTATGAACCTCATTGATCTCACAGAGGACTTTAGCAAAGAGGAACATACTGAAGATCCTTTCTTTGATTGCTTGGAAATTCCACAAATGGAGGATATGCGTGATCCTATTTCAAATATCTTCGAAAAGGGAAGCAAGGATGATATTTGGGTTCACACGCAGAGGTACAGTTCTGGTGACTTCATGAGGGAATGTCTGGAACTGAAAGCTATTCCAGAAGTCTGTATGCACTCGGAAACTGATGACCAGGAAGCCTTTGATAAGTCTGAATTAAGGAGCTTAGATATAGTTATTCCTAAGGGAGGTGGACATGCACTCACTATCCCGAGAGCTGAACGAAAATCTAAGGAAATGCCTTTAAAGCTTTCTGTCCAAACCAGGGGAATGAAAGCAGCTTTAGCTTCTGCTCAGTGGGTTAGTCAATGAAATGCCTCTTCTGGAATATTTGTGGTGTACATAGTTCTCTACCTAGACTGATTTCTTTGGTAAAGCTTCATAAACCAGAATTTTTTGCTATTTTGGAACCTTTAGTTAAAGAAGATAAGATTGCCAATTATGCCATTAAACTGGGGTATGGTGGGAATACCTCAGGTCTGCACAATAAGGCTTGGCTTTTTTGGAATAATAGTGCTCTGGATTTGCAAGAATGTAGGGAGGAAAATCAGATCATTACTTGCAAATTTACCTGTTTAGATTCAAGTAAGGTAGTTTTTATCTCGACGGTTTATGGGAAACATACTGAGAAGGAAAGGGAATCCCTATGGAATTCAATGGGGATGCACAAGCAAGATGAGGAAATGTGGATTATAGGGGGGGACTTTAATGTTGTGGCCTCTCTAGATGAACACAAAGGGAAAGTGAGCCCCTCCACAAAAGGCATTTTGGAATTCTCGGAATGTATTGAACGTTGTGGGCTTAACAATCTTGAACCCGTTGGTGGGGTCTTCACTTGGACTGGTGATAGAAGTCATGGAAGGCTTTGGAGACGTCTTGATAGAGCCTTGGTTAATAACGCTCTCTTGGCCATGTATGATGTGGTCACTCTATCACATTTGAGTAGAGCTGGCTCTGACCATAAGCCCATCCTTCTTAGCTGCTTCAATAATCAATTCCGGGGTCCTAAGGTTTTCAGATTTCAGAACTGCTGGCTAACTCATGATAACTTCTCTCCACTTATTAATGATTTTTGGAAGACTGAGCCTAACATTGGGGGCATGTTTGGCTTTGCGGCTAAGCTCAAGAAACTTAAGAATGTTCTCAAGGAATGGAATAAAACCACTTTTGGGGATATCTTCAGCAGCATTAAACAAGCAGAATTGAAGGCCCAAGTAGAACAAGAGAATTTTGAAAACAGCCCAACTGAGGAGAACAGATCCAACTCCAACCTTGCAGCAGCCAATTTACTACTGGCCAGTAAGAGAGAGGTGCTCTTTTGGAAGCAAAAGTCCAACATCACCTGGCTTAAAGAAGGCGATGTTAACAGCAAGTTCTACCATGCTTATGTTAAGGGAAGAAGAGCAAAACTAGGAATCAATTCTGTTAAGGATGAGAACGGCAAGAAGATTATCAACCAAGATGAAATTGGGGATAATGCTGTGGAGCACTTCACAAAGCTTTACCATTCTGAAGGTAATGAGGTTTTAGACCCTATTATCAAACACATTCCAACAGTACTTAGTGAAGAAGATAACCTCTTGTTTACTAATATTCCCTCCATGGAAGAGGTTAAGGCAGCTGTTTGGGCTCTTAAAGAAGATGCTGCCAGTGGGCCAGATGGGTTTAATGGCACTTTCTACAAGCATTGTTGGGACACCATCAAAAATGACCTATTGAAAGCCTGCCAAGAATTCTTCTTAGGAGTGAAGGTCCCAAGTTCATACGGAAGCACCCTCATCTCACTCATACCAAAAAATGATGGACCAACCAGATGGCCTGATTACAGACCTATTTCACTATCCACATTTATGAGCAAGATTAATACCAGGCTGGTGGCAAATAGACTGAGCATCCTACTTCCCAAAATTATAAGTCAAGAACNGGTTTAATGGCACTTTCTACAAGCATTGTTGGGACACCATCAAAAATGACCTATTGAAAGCCTGCCAAGAATTCTTCTTAGGAGTGAAGGTCCCAAGTTCATACGGAAGCACCCTCATCTCACTCATACCAAAAAATGATGGACCAACCAGATGGCCTGATTACAGACCTATTTCACTATCCACATTTATGAGCAAGATTAATACCAGGCTGGTGGCAAATAGACTGAGCATCCTACTTCCCAAAATTATAAGTCAAGAACGAGCAGGGTTCCAAAAGGGTAAATCTGTAGATGATCAAGTTTTGCTGGCACAAGAGTTGGCACACCGGCTTCATAAGAATGCTATTGGTGGAAATATTATCATAAAGATTGATATGGCCAATGCTTTCGATAGAGTTAGTTGGGCATATCTCCAGGGGGTTTTGAATAAGCTGGGCTTCAATGATCTTGCTGTGAAAATACTTATGGGCAACATCTTTTCCTCCAGGCTCTCTATTCTCATAAACGGATCCCCAAAAGGTTTTATTAGTATGACTAGGGGAGTGAAACAAGGTGATCCACTCTCCCCGCTCTTATTCATCATCGCAACAGAAGGATTTAGCAGAGCTTTACACCATAGTATTAACTCGAGATTTCTTAAACCCTTCAACAGTGGAAGGGGGCCGGTGGTCTCACACTTATGTTATGCTGATGATTTGGTTGTTTTTCTTCACTCAGGTAAAAGAAATCTCTTGAGATTCTGATCTATTCTTAATTATTATCTCCTGGCTTCAGGACAAGAGATTAATTACAGCAAGAGCAGATTCTATGTGCACAGCAAGACGAGGAGTTCCAAAACTGCAGAAATCGAGAGATTGCTGGGCATTAAAGGAGGAGTCTTGCCTTTTCTGTATCTGGGGGCACACATTACTAAAGGTCAACTGAGGAAAGAGGACTGCTCTCATATCCTTAATCATTTTGATAAGCTTATGAATACATGGTATAGCAAGACCCTTAACCCCATTGGAAGGCTGATTCTCATCAAACACGTACTTTCCTCCATACCTTTACACCTTATTTCGGTAAGTGCTCTCCCCAAATCCATTATCAATTGTTTGCATAGAAAAATGGCAAATTTTCTTTGGGGCTATAAAAATGGAAGGAAAAAACAGCACTGGAAGTCTTGGAGTAAAATCTGCAGACCTAAAAATGAGGGAGGTTTAGGTATCAGGGACCTCCATGATGTACAAAATGCTTATTCCATTAAGCTCATATGGAAATTACATAGCAATGATACTCTCTGGAGCAGGTATATGTGTTAGACAAATGTGCAACTCTAGAGGGGGGGTGAATAGAGTTGTTTCCAAGAATGTGCGTTTTTCGTAAAAATTATCGCAGGAATAAGTAAAGAGAGTAGGGGAAAGAAGAACACCGGGATTTATACTGGTTCACCACCTCGTGACTAGTCCAGTCCTCCGAGAGACTCTCTCGAAAGTCCTACTAATCTTCAAGCTTCAACGGGTGCTTGAAAAACCGGTACAACTTGAGAACTTGAATCACACAAGCGTCACTTTCTTACAACAACAAGACTTGAGTCACACAAGTCTTAAGAACAACACTCAAATGAGATTGAGTTTACAACACAAGAATGAAAGCTCACACAATTGAGCAAAGTAGTGTTAAAAATTTAAGCTCTATGGATGACAACTTCTATAGCACTAAAAAAAAATATTTCTAACTCTCAAAAAAAATAATTTGATGAGGAAGATGAAGCAAAGGATGAATAGCTCAAAGAAATATATTGGAGTGCAAGAGGTGTGTATTGAAATGAAGGAGAATGAGGGATTAAATAGGCTGAGGAAAATAAAGCCGTTGAAGAAAGCTGATGTTCTGTACTAGAGAGAATTAATCGATTAAATTAGGAATTTTAATCGATTAAAGTGTACAGAAGCGAAAAGCCTGAAAAGAAAACTGAGTCATAATCGATTAAATGAAGACAAATAATCGATTAGGAGGTTCGGTACAAACTAATCGATTAAAGGAGGAAAAATAATCGATTATTGATCAAGGTTGAGCAGCCCAACGAAAGGCTTAAAAATCGATTAAATTGAAGAAATAAATCGATTAGGAGGTTCTGTCCAAGCTAATCGATTTTTTTAATAGAGAAAATCGATTAAGAATTCAAACCCTGAGAAATTGCGCTGGATCTAATCGATTATTTTAAAGGATATAATCGATTAAAATGAAAATAATGCGCAAACACAAAGGGCCCAAGCCAAGCGCGATTGGAAGCCCTTTGGCTTCTAACTCCTTGTTTGAGACAGCGAGA